CCCCCCCCCGCCCCCCCCCCCCCCCCCCCCCCGCCACAAAACTGTCCCCCAATCCGCTTGCACGCTGTCCCCGCCCCACAGGGCTCCCGGGCCTTAACCCTCGCAGTGCAGGCAGCTCCCCTGGGCGCGCCCCCGCCCCCGCCCAGCCCCAGCCGCGCCCTCGCTCCGCCCGTGCTTCCCTTCGGCCAGCGTGGTCGCCCAGGCTACCTGAGACCGAGCCGCGGCACCCACTCCGCATTTGCACCCATCCGCGCCCGGGTCTGAGTGCCCAAATTTCAGGGCATTCCCCACCACCCGAACCACCAGAGCTGACTCGACACCCCCAGCCTCTGACCAGCCCGGTCTCCAGCCTGCGCAGTCTTCCTGGGTGTCGAAGAAGGGGCCAACTGGACAGCGGTGGGACACTTACCACCTTCAAGGTCTGTGCCGAGGGAAGCTGTTGAGTAAAGAGGGGAGATTCACGTCTCAGTTCTACCTCAACCTTCTCTGAGACCAAGGGTGGGGGCCACAGTAATGGGGGCCACAGGGATCCCGCCCCAGGAGCAATGGCTTACCTTTTGTCCTTGACTGAGCAAGTATGTTCCCTCTGCCCACCTGGAGGTGACCCCACCTCTCACAGGACATTAAAAATAATAATGAGCAACAACGCCTCCTTTAATCCTCACTGCCAGGGAGGCACCTTGCTGTCCCCCAGTACAGAGGAAATGAAGGCACAGAGAAGACAGGTAACTTACCCTCAATCTCTCAACCAGAACTTGGCACGCTGCAGCATTCAAACCCTCACCGCGTCCTGGCTTTTCCTGCACACCACCCAGCTTGCCTTCCCTGCCCAGCACCAGCATGTACTGGCCTTCCCACGTCCATCCACCTGGCGCTCTCTGATCACCCCCTGCATTTTCTCTGGCCCGAGCTGCTGCACCAGCCTGCCATGGCATCCTCTCCACTGTCACTTGAGCAGAACCGAGAATCATCATGCCTGTGTCCCAGCGCCCTCAACACCTGGGGCCAACCCACCTCCCATGGCTCATGCCCCTCAACTACGGTCAAATTACACCACCCCAACACCACCTCCAGAACCTGCTCTAGTCCATAGTGACCTTTGCCCAAGCTCTTCCCTCAGGAACCCTGCCTGGAACAGCCACTCTTCCATCAAGACTAGAAGCTCCCTCTTCCTGGAAGCTTTCCAGAGATCGAAACTGGAGACCCCTGGAGGCCAGTGATCCCAGGGCGGTGGAAAGTTGGGTAAGGTGTGCCAGCTGTCAGGTCTGGGGCCCACTGAGTCTAAAGCTGCCCACCCCTCTCAAGTTGGTGGGGCCAATGAAAAGGCAAGTACCCAGTCCAGCATCCCCAGGTTCTGTCTCTGGATCAGTGTGGGCACCTTGTGGGTGGATGGAGGTAAGCCTAGCCAACCTCTGTCTGACCCTTGTTGGCCCATTGTGTCAGCCCTGCACCCTGGGTACAGGTCCAGGGGACCCCTAAAAGTCAGGTGGCCGTCCCTGAAGCAGCCAGGAGAGCCAGCCTCAGGGCCCCCCTGAGGACTGCCAGGCTATGGGAGGTTAGGAACAGGGGCTCCAGAACAAAGTGGGCAGGTGGGTAGAGAGGTCCCAAGCGCCAGACTTCACAGACGGGTTTGTGAGGAGACATCATCGAAGCGTGAAGAGTTCCAGCAGGTGTGTAGGCTGCTAAGCACAGGTGTGTGCAAAGGTGGCTCTGAAGTGTGGGAGGGCAGAAGCAGGAAGAGGGTCCACAACTAGGCTGTGAAGTGCGAGGTGCGGAGACAAAGTAAGGTGAGAATGAGGATAGGTCACGAGCAGGTGAGTTGGCCCGAGGACAGTGAGGAGGCTTGGCCGAAACCGTAGGTGTATGAGGGGGACGCCAGCGCGGTCAGCTCTCTGAGCGACATGGCCTCGCGGGCGCGGGGACGCGCTGCCCCCTGGCGGTGGTACGGGGCCATGGCGGCTTCTGAGAGCCTGGCCCCGGCCCCGCCCTGTCCCGCCACGTCCGAGCCCGCGGGCCTTCCCTACCTCCAGCCCAGGCCCCTTCCACCGGAAGCCCTCCCGCCAGCTGCTCGCCCACCCCCGGAATCAGGGAAGCACGCCCCTCCCCGGTGCCCGCTGGACTTAAATGGCTGGATGCAAGTTCTGCACCGTTAAAAAAGAAACAGCAGTTAGCTAGCTTCTGGATCTGAGTACCCTCATTTGCAATCCAGTCTCAAAGGATGAGGACTACGTTCCACCTGCCCAGCACAGGTAAGGCCCAGTAAGTACTTATTCGGCCTTCTTATGAGACTAGCATTCAATGATGGCATGCTGAGCCCGGACGGGTCAGGCTCTGCCCCAGGACCTAGAGTTGTGGAGTGGACCAAGGCGGAGTGCCGAACCTTTAGAGAGGCAGTATCTCCGAAGAGCCCCATGGTGAAAAGAGCTGGGCAGAGAATTGAGATGAAGTTGCAGAGGCCAGATTTACACATTCCTGCCTGAAATGACAACAAAACTGAGAAAAACGTATGTGAAAATAGTACTCGAAGCACTGGGCGTCATGCAAGGGCTACGATCCTTGAAAGACGGGAAAGAGATGATGGGAGCTGAGGGTGTCCCTGCTTACTGCCCCGGCCAGGGGCGAGCAGAGCACAGCAGTCTCTCCCAGCTGAGGAGAGGCGGGTGGGGAGGCAAGTGGTGGAGGTGGCCGGTGCTCCGGAGCACTGGAAAAGAGAAAGCTGCACGCAGAGGGAACCCCAGACACCCACAGAGGTCCTCCTCAGACCATTGCTGGGTACAGATCAGGGCACAAATGTGAAGGCAACACCCAACACAGGGGAAAGAACCCGGAAGGATTAGAGCCCACATGGGACTGGGAATAGTGCCCTTGTCCAGTAGCCAGGGTGGGAAGCCTTGTAACTCCAGAGTCATCAGTTAGAGGAGGAGGAAAGATCTTGCCTCAGTAATGGGCAAGATCTTTATAATACAGTTCTGGTCCCATCTAACACAGCTGGAAAATAAGACCCAAGGATCACACAGTTCTGAGTAACTTAATCACACAACTAGAGTATACCCATAAATACAAGCGTATTTACAAGAGTGTTTATGGGTATACAAAAATAGCCAGCCCCCAACAAGGTAGAATACACAATATTGGATACCTTATTAAAAAGTACCAAGCATGACAAGAAATGGAAATTATAACTCATATCAAGAGGGGGAAATCATTTGAAGTTGACCCAGAGATGACCAAGATGGTAGTTACTAGAAGAGTCCATCACGACACACTTCCAGTGACTACCACCCTATGTTCCGAATGCCAGAGGAAAGACCACACATGTTAGGTAGAGATATGGGGGGGGGCAGGAAAACGAAGCCTCAAATTGAATTCTAATGAAAATTACAGTCTCTGAGATACGGAAAGCATTGGATGGGAGTAATGGAACATTGCAAAAGAAAGGAGCGAACTCGAAGACGTAGCAATAGAAACTACGTGAAACAGAAATGACTGGAAACAAAGCATCAGGGAAATGCGGTACACCTGCAAGCGGTGACACACAAGAGTCATTGGAGGGCCTACAGAGAGGAGCTAGAGATGGGACAAGGAGAACTATTCTAAAATTGGACCAACATTTTCTAAATGTGGTGACAACATGAACCTACAGCTTCAAAAAGCTCAACAAATTAAGCACAAGAACTGGAAGAAGGAGCCAGGTGGTGGCACAGTGACAATACACAATGCTCTGTGAAGCTGAGCACCTGGGAAGGTTCCTAGATTGTGTCCAGAGGCCTTCCTGAGTAAGCCAGCACAGGCACACATGTGCCCATGATCTGAGGCTGACTGCATCTGAGAGTGGGTTGGGAGAAGACCCTGATGGGGGTAGTCTCTCTCTGTCTCTCACTCATGGAAGAAACAAACAACCTTTAAAAAAAAAAGAAACAAGAAGAAAATTACAACAAAGCACATCATTATCAAAATGCTGAAAACCGGGAACCAGCAGTTGGCGTAATAGCTATGTCGCTGGACTCCCACGTAGTCGACCACGGTTCACGTCCCGGACCCGGTGGCTTAGAACTCATGCCGGGCATGTGTACGTGCGTACCCAAGATCCCGAGAGGAGAATGGAGAAGGGATTGCCGACTACCCCCCCTGGGGGATGATTTCTCGCTTTCTATCTCTCTGTCTCTATCTGTCTGTCTGGCGAGCGCATGCACCCTATAGCAAAAATCTCTCAAAAAAAAAAAAAAAAAGAAAATCTGTAAATCTAATATTCTTTGCAGAAAAAGAAAAGTCTTTTAGAAACAAAACCGAAATAAAGACTTTTCAGATATAAGCTGAAAGGATTAATCATCAACAGATCTACACTAGAATTTTTTTTAAAGAGGTTTTTACCTTAGGGAACATACACTTGCTGGAGAGAGAGACAGAGATGATGAGAGGGAAAGTGAGAAATCACTCCCCAAGGGAAATGACCACACTGCAATCTCTTCTCCATTCTTCTCCCAGGATCTTGAACATACTCACACACATGCCTGGTGTAAGTTTCAAGCCACTGGGTCTAGGACTCAAACCATGGTCGGCCTTGTGGGAGTCCAGCAACAAAACCACTACACCATCTGGTGGTCCCTGCACTAGAAGAAATATTAAAGGATGTACTTCAAGCAGGAGGAAGATAACATCAGATGGAAACCTGAATCTACACAGAGAAATAACAAGTACCAGACATGGTAACTGCAGAGACTATCAAGTGGCACGGTAGTTAAGGCACTGACTCCTCCTACATGGTCAACTACAGTTCGAGTCCCACAGCTGGAGGCTTGCTTTCTTACTTTCACTGTCCCTCTCTCTGTCTCTCTCTGGTGATCACACATGACCTGTACAAAGTTTTAAAATAATAAATAAAATTAAATAATTCTTTAAAAAAAAAAAACAAAGAAGTGAGAACCACATGAATAACTAGAAAGAATGTTGTCCTGAGCTGGTTCCATGGCCCGGTGGTTAAGGCAGCCAGATCCCACGTGGCTGACTATACAGTTCTAATCCTGGCCCCAATGGCTAGAGAAACACTATGGGCTAGTGCGCATATGCTCAAACTTCCAAGGAGATGGAGATACCAAAGAGAAGAGATCGCAGCCCCACCATGCTCCATTTGGGGTGCTTTCTCTCTGAGTCTCTCTGGTAAGCATACTTGCCCTCTGGTAAATTTTACATATATATATATATA